TTTGGTGTTCTACTAGTTTTTATTCTTCTTTTGGTCGTTCGTAGCCTCTGTGTCGTCGTGCTGCTCCGCCTTGGTGGAGTTTAGGCGGTGTCTCGGACTTGTCCGTGTGGCGGGGTCGGACCCCCACCCCTGTGTTTTTGGGGGGGTGGCGCCAGGCGCGCCATCTGGTTTTTGCCGTCGTGATTTGTGTTTTCTACATGTGCTGGTGGTGGTTGCGCTTTTGTTTGCGGCACCGCGCGTTGCGCTCTGGATGTGGGCCTCTGCCTCCCATGGGGTGGGCTGGCCCAGGTAGGGAGGGGGGTGGAAGGGGATATGTTGGATCGTACCTTTCTTATGTACATTGAGGGGTTATGTCGTGTGGAATGGGTGACAGGAATTGTGTGCACATGTGTTTTGGGTATGCTGTAAACGTTTCTCCGGTTATGTGTTCGTGAAAACGTTGTTCTTTGGTTTTGTATGTTCTAGTGCCTGATTGCGTGGACATTGTTCATGGCGTCTAGGTGAACTTCTCGTCAGGTCTTGTCCCCCAGGGTCGCGTGTTCATTCCGAATGCTATTGATGATGTACATCTTTCTTTTCCCATCGCGAGTGTGTTTTCACATCCCATGCAATGGTGATTGTTCCCAATCTCCGGCATTATGAAAGTGATGTGCGATTTCAGGTGATGCCGCCCGACTTCATTTGGTCTGCGGTTGCTCACCCGATGGTGTCCGTGATCTCGTGGTGTTTGGAGGTTCTATTTTCGATTGGGTCACTCGTGTATTTTTTGATATGCGCCACGGATCCAATACACACAAAGGGGAGCAGAAGACAGGCGTGTGTAATGAACGTGTGCGCACAGTAGACACTCATCATTGTGATGTGTTCATGAGCTAACGGGGGATGGTGACAACCGTCCGTGCAGTTCTTTGCAGTAAGGGGTGCCGATGTTGCGTGCGCCCGTGATGCTACCACGGGGAATTTGACACGTGGATGTTGTGATGGTTGATGGGTTGCGGTGTTACATTTGACATTCATATGGGAGTGCTCCTTGAGTACTGTTTCGTGAGATGGGGTTCTGTGTTGGCTGGTGTCTCCTCAGTGGTCTCATACCAGTTTTGGGGGATGCCGCCCTTTTAGGCAATGAGGTTGCGCTATCGGTGAAAGATAGTCAGAGGGCACGTTGTATATTGTTGCCGAGTGGGATAACTGGGATCTGCGAGTAAATTCCCATGGTGCTGTTTCTTTTGTTTTTGTTTTTGTGGATTTTTTTTATTCGTAATTGGGGGGTGTTGTTTTGACATCTGTACGGTACCTGAAGTATACTTGTTTTTTTTTGTGAAGTGGTAAGATTGATTGCTGGCTTTGTGTGAGTGGTTTATTGTTGATCCTTCATTGGATTGTTATGATGTTTCTCTCCCTCACACTCTCTCATCCTTTCTCTGTTTTTCCCTCTGCGTTGCTGTTGTTTCTCAGTGTGTTAAATGTGCGTCTCTTTTCATCCATCTCTTTTTTCTTGTTGCCACGGATCCAAGCAACCCACAGTGACAATCATGAGAACGATGTTCGTCCAACTGCGTCGCGTGATGTACCTGTTGGTACTACTCCAATGCTGCGTGTGTGTGGCATATGTGGCGAATGCAAATGAAGTTGAGCAGGTTTCTTCAAACGACGAGTCAACTAAAGCAAAAAAGGTGGATCAGTTAGTCAAGGCAATAGAAAAGGCGTTTGAGCGCATTATGCCTATGTCCGGATGTCTGTCTTTGATAAGAAAGAATATGGAATTATACAAGAAAAATTACAAGCATGCCGAAGCTGCAAGAAAGAATATCACTGCTCTTGATGAAGAGATCAAGGTTTTGAAAGGAAGAAAAGAAAAAGCGTGGAAACCAGAAGAGTGGGAGCAGGAAAAAAGGGATGGAGTGCAACAAGACATATATATTGTTGGAAATGCGACATTAACACTTAATGGCATATCTCAAATGGAAAAGGCTTGTAGGAACGTGTCTGTGGACCTGGGAGAAGAAATAAAAGGTCTTGTCAACGCTCGAGAAGGGTTTTTGGTCGCACATAAAAACAAAACGCCGGATGAAATAAAGCTCGAAAAAAAAAGCAATGAAACAGAGGGAGCGCTAGTTCACCTCAATGAATATCGCGAAGACTTGCTGAGTGAATTCGTACCACTTATGGAGGTCGCAAAATCCATGTATGACGCGTTGGATGCCATAAGGGGGTCTTTGGGGGATGAGGCGACACATGTAATGAGTACAGAAAAGGACAGTGAAGAAGAACATAAAAAACGTATTGGGGAGATAATGAACAACTTTAATGAAAAACTGAAGGAAGAAAATTCAAAAGCAAATGAAGAAATGCAGGGTCGTGCAGAGGAGGAGCAGGATGAAAAGGGAAGAGGGAGTATAACTGAAGTGAAACCGACAGAGGCAACTGAAGAGACAAAAGGGGTTGGAGAGAATGCACAGAAGCCACCCGAGGAAGGAGAAGAAAAGAAAGAGGACGAAGAAGATGAGAAGAAAAATACCAAAGGAAAAGAAGAAGGGAAAGGGAGAGAGGGTGAAGAAGAAAAGGCAGGGGAGGGAGATGTCACAAAGGAAGAAGGGAAGAAAGAGAGAGAAGGGGAAGAGGCGGAGAATTATAAAAACAAAGAAGAGACCAAACAAGAGCAGGAAAAACAAACCAATGAAGAAGCAAAAGAGGATAAAAAGGGGCCGGGGGCGGTATTAAGTGTAGTACAAGGTGCTGACAGCAGCCACAGTCCTGCAATGGTGCACAGTTCCTTGCTTCTTGTTCTCTTGTATGTGCTGGGTTGCACTCTCGTGTGTTAATCGGTGTTCCCATGACACAGTTACACAGTTAACCTTTGTTTGAGTGGATATGAATGCATTGTAAGGGCACTGTTCTTTTTATTGAATTTTACTGTTTCTTTTTTTTTCTTTTCCAATGCGATAAATCTCTTGTTTGCATTTTTTACGGAACACATCTATTGGACTCCTTTTGACACTCATCACATGACAAACCATTATTATGTAAGGGGAGTGACCTTCTTTCTTTGCTGGCATTATTATCTGGGCTCTGATTTGCCACCGTTTACTGTATCCACCTAATGAGGTGTGTGTGTTCCGTGATATTACTAACTATTGCTTTTACCCATGGGAATGAAATACAATCCCAATGTGTTTTAATTGCTGTGACTGAAATGTAAAGAATGGGAGGAGGTTCAAGACACACAAACACACACACCACCAACCCTCCTTCTCTTTGTGTGTGTGTGGACTGTCATCATGTGTGCATCATTCCCACTGCTCGCCCTGTACGAAAGACACACGCACCTACTGCAGGGAATTGTGTTATTGCCTCCTGAACATATTCACATGGTGATCACGGCTTTTTTTCTTTGTGTTTTGTTTTTATTCTATTGTTTTTCCCTTGTGTGTGTGTGTTTCATTATAATTTCATTGCACGTTATGTGCACCTGTGTGTTTCTCTTTTGCGTTTCCGATACACCTTGTGTATCTTGTGTGTTCATTTTTATGCAATGATTTTTTTTTCGTCATATACAAACTGCTGCACGGACATCAAAAATAAAGATATGGGTACGGCACGTTCAGTACACAATGATTTTCCGTTGTTCACCTTGGGGTGGATTGGACTGTGTCCAGGCATCGCAGTCACAGTAAGTAATGAATTTCTTTTTTTTTTTTACATCTTTGCACCCTTATTGTGTCTGCCTCACGCAGTCACTCTTTTTTTACATTTTTGTTTTGGTATAAATAGTGGTGGGTTGTAGGTGTTTGGGTGTGCCCCTCTGTTGTGTGTTCCTTTGTGTGTTTGGGTTGCTACTCACACCGCCCACGTAGTGAAAACACATTTCTTTGTTCTCACCTTCTCTCTCGGTGGTGTCACTCACACAGCATTGCCACGGAGATATTACTGCTCTTGTGGTGTTTGTTGTGTGGCTTGCTTGAGTGACTGCAGTCTGTGGGGAGATGGACTGAGACTGTTCCGCTTCGGCTTCACGTAATGGGCTTGTTTTGTTCTCTTGTTCTTTTTGGGGGTTGAGTTGATTTGCTGGTATGGGTGAATGTTTTTCTCTGATGAGAGTGTCACCTGTGATTATTGTATTGTGAGTGCTTTGTGTGCTGTTGGTATCCACCTGGTGTTGTTCTTTTCTTGTGTTTTTCTGTTCCTCTCTGTAGGTGTGTGACTTAGTGTACATTTTAGTGAATGCAGCAGTGCCTCTCTGATATGAGCATGTGAGACTGTCATTGTGTGTGTGTGTGTGTGTGTGTGTGTGTGCACTGTGAGTGGGAAGGACACCGTTGTGTTGCTGGACCACTCCACTGTGGCGCCTGTGGGGTTTGTGTGTGAGCGGCATGCTTCGCTTCTGCGGGGCTCGAGGGGCACTTTACGTCCCGAGGCGCTGAACCTGGAGGCCTGAAATATCGTGCTCAGGGACCTTGAACTTGAGAGAAAAAGAAGGGTGAGGATGAGGGAAAAAAAAAGGATGAAACCCGGCAACCAGTCTACGTGCGCAATGCTCGAGGCTCGTTGTCGGGTTTTGCCCTTTTCTTTTTTTAATCCCCCACCCCAAGAAGGGAGAAGAGAGAACACAACCCCCACAACCCAAGGCGGGCGTCCAACTTGTCAGCGTCTTGTGCGCAACAACAAGAAGAAGAGGTGTGGGGTGGCTCCCGGGGGTGTTTCACTTATAAAATGAGTGGGATTGGGAATAGTGGAAAACTCTTGCTTTCCCCGCTTCAACGCTGGGCAAGATGGGTTTGAAAGGTATTCCGCAAAGATGACCCTTCCCCCATTCTCCTCATGACGCCATGGCGCCGCGTGCCACCGAGTAAAAAAAGGTGCTGTTGGATGGCCCACGCGCCATGGACAAAAAGAACAAAGGAAAAAGGGATTCACCACACCCTCATGATAAAGGCAAATTCCGCTATGGTGATGTGTTAAGGCGTTCCCCTACTGCCATGTGTGATGTGAAAAGGAAATCCATGGGAAATGCAGGAAAGGAAAAATAAGCACAAAAAGAACATTTTGCCTCATAGGTATTTTGGTTTGTTGGTCCCCACCGCCTGCCCCACCACAAC